CCTCGCTGTGTCCCACACGCTGAGGGGAGCCACCGGCGTCGCCAATGGCTGCGTTTGTCACCCCCAATCCGTCTGCCCTGGTGGCAGAGCTCGGGCAGGATGACAGCAGGGACTTATTTATGCTGACTTAAGCTTTTGGGGGTAAAAACTCTTAAATTAATCCTCAGGTTTTTTTCTTTCCTTGATCCAAGATGTCATCTTTCCAGACCAGCGCTGAGGCGCATTGGCAGAACCACACTGGATGTTGGCAACAGCAAATGCAGCAAATAAACCGATTAATACACATCGCGGTGAGGTAGAAGGACTTGGGGTTCCACCGACACCCCCCGGGGCAGCGACAGGAGGGCACCCTAGCGCCGCTTATTGTATTTTATTCGAGCATGAGCCAAAATCCTATCTATATTGCGTCAGCTGTTTTATTTGCTACATACAATGCATTTTTCACACATACAGCACTGCATGTGATGTGAAAAAACCCTTAATTCTCTTACACAAGTGAGTATTCCTTTTTCCTCTGAAATTTTGCCTCTACATCCAGTAAATGTAAGGAGGGTATAGCCAGGGGCGGGGTATTGGTCTCTTCTCCCGAGTAACAGGCGATAGGACAAGAGTCTCCAGTTGCACCAGGGGAGGTTTAGGATGGATATTAGGAAAAAATTCTTCACTGAAAAATTTGTCAAGCATTGGAACAGGCTGCCCAGGGAAGTGGCGGAGTCACCATCACTGGAGGTATTTAAAAGATGGGTAGATGTGGTGCTGAGGGACATGGGTTAGTGGTAGTTTTGGCAGTGTTGGGTTGATGGTTGGACTCAATAATCTTAAAGGTCCCTTCCAACCTAGACAATTCTATGATTCCATGTTTTTCCTCTAGCTGCGAAGTTTTAATTTGCTTATACCTCCGAGCTGGTAGCAGCAAGCTGTTGGTGACAGCAACCCCTGAGAGGTGCTGAAAGATGCTGTTAATCAGTGCACAGAGTGTATTCTGGGTCAATTATCTTGCAGAAGGTAAAGATTAAAGAATCAGTAGTGCACGGGACGGGATTCCTGCTTTGCTGTGATGAACACACTGAACATTTAATGGCAGTTACCGAGTGCACTTTACTGGCTGTACTCCTTTAACCTCTCAACTCAGAACAGACGCGCACACAGCGTCACACCCCATACCCCCGTCGTGCTGGAGAACAATACAGCTTCACCCTATTCCACTTCCTTCAAATCATGGATACCTATTAATTGTGGTTTTAGGATTGCCTCGGAGAAGCCCCGATTCATAAAGCAGCAAAAGTTGGGAATTTGGAATGTCTTGCTCTCCTTGTTGTTGGCGATGCCAAAATTGAGTAAGTTGAGCTACATTTAGTCATTTCCGTAACAGCATCAAAGGATAAGTGTATTTCACACAGTACTTGTTCCTGTTCAGAGCGTGCATGCCAAGAGCGTAAATACAGATGACTATAGGCAGAAGAGCAGTATTAAAAACTGCCACAAACACCAAAGCAGCGTAGAACATATGCTGCTCAGTTCCACGTGAAAGAATTCTGTAGTAACTGCTAAGAGAAAATGCCTGATGAGAAGTTCTCCTTGTTAGTTTTCCATGGTGCCTAATGCCGTTTTGCCTTTCTGATACACCGAGCAAGTCACAGTCTGATGACAAAAGTATTTTAAAATAATTATTCCTTGTTGCATTTAATACCAAGCCCTCTGTATGAGCAGAGCCCCACACTATCCTTGACAAGCCTTCTTGCTATGGATTCTCTGTGCTTATTTTTATACCTCTTTCTGAAGTGACCACTTCATTAATCTCGATCCGTGCTTGCTCATAATAAACGTTTCAGTGTAATGGAATGGTTATCGTTAATTCTGTGTTTCAGCTTGCGCAACAACAGCGGACAAACGGCGGCAGAGCTGGCACTGGCTTACGGCTTTCTGGAATGTGCCAAGTTCCTGACGGGGATTCAGCAGAGTCGGGCACTGAAGCGGAGAGGACAGCCTGGCTGCGCACCTGGTGACCAATGCCGCTCGCCCAGGGAGGACCCAGCTGCACGGAAAGGAGAAAGTGACACCAGCAGATCCGTAAGCAGGAAGAGGAGAAGAGCAGATGGTGTGTAATACCATTGGCTTACTACAATTCAGAATATTTTGAGTATTTTTTTAATGCTTTTGTCATTGAAGTAAATAAATCTGGTGTTAAGATATGCAGCAGTTGGGTTGAGAAGCCTGCCAGTAAGGATCAACTTGCATAGGTATCTAAGGTCAGGGATTTATTGAAAATGGATAGTGCACAGGGAATGCCACTGAAAAAGCTACTTCCACCTGGAAACAAAAAGAAGTGGCGGGTACTTTTACTGCTGCACTGATGGAGCACCTCACAAAGACAGCATCCTTACCAACACCACAGCTGTAGCCTATGTTTTGATGGCATCAGATACAGACTTATTCCTGTTTGTTCGTGTGACAGATCTTCGTCTCCTCGCTGACAAAAGAAACCGCCTGTAATCCCCACGAGAAGTCAAGGGCAATCCCAAGCCTGAAGAGACCCAACTGCGCCATGCACAGAGCCACCAGACGTATTTGCTGGTACAGCATCTCCTTCTGAGAAGGAGGAAAGCTCATTTATTTTTACTTCTTACAGAAGACTGTTGTGGGTTTTTTTCCCTGGAATAGTTGTATTCCTACAGCTATAAATAAATGCACATATAATAATTAATTCTCTCACGTTTTTTTCAGTGTAAATATGAGAACAAAGTTCATAAAATTCAGTACATATAGCCATTTTTCTCCCACTCCTTTTCTAAAATGCTGTTAATCAACAGCATCAGCAGCAAACGATGCCTTGGACAGGCTCGCTGTGCGCAAGGCAGCTGGCTGTACGGAACCTGGAAGGTAGAGGACAGTTCATCTTTTTGGCAAGGAAGAATTCTGTAATAAAATAAAAGGACTGGACATTTAATTCGGAAAGATTTCAGCATAACAAAAAATGCCATATAAAGTTATCCTAGCTAAAAGAAGAGATTATTAGTTACCTAATAAATGTATTTATAAGAAATACAGTTCATAGCAGATAACTCTTATTTTTAGGTTTCATAAAAAAAATATTTTCTTAATTTAAATTACTCAATCAACATTTCTATTTCAACTAGCTTTTGAGTGACTTAAAGCATTATTCTGATAAACAGCAAGACAGTTGTATCTACATCAGCTAGAATTCTGGCTTAGCATGTTCCAGCCGAAGAGCAGAATTTAAATAGTTTTCGGTCGTTGAGGTAGGCAGAGATTATAATAGGCGTCCTTGTTCCAAAACTCCGGGCCCTTCCATCCACACCAGCCCTGTCCAAGAAAAAAAAGCAAGACAGTGTTTAAATCTACTACAAATTCTCTTTTTCCTATCTACTACTATTGGATCTATTTTATTTTACCCATTTTAATCGAAGCTGTATGTATTCTTTTCAAGTATCTATAGCATGCCATGACACACAATTTTCAGAGAGTTCTCTACATGCCTGGAAATGCAGTAATGGGAAACACTTCACAGGGTCTTTCTCTTCCCCTTCCTCCCTCCCCACCCCATCTCAGTTCCTAAAAAGCAGCATCTCTTTTCCCCCACTTCCCACTACCTTCTGCTGCTACAGAGAGACTAAAGGGATTCTGACACTCTTATTCTCACAGTTTCCACTTCTCATCTTGAAGAATCCTTGCCGCCTTTGGTAGGAGTTGGTATTTCAGAGCCAGAACTCTTAATATCAGCTGTGCTGCTGATCATAATTATCAGAAAAACAGCCTAACAAAGCTCTTCACCACATAATTATACAAGCTGTTTTTGAAGAAAAGAGCTACAAACTATTCCACCTCAGTTGCTCCCCTCCCAGCAATTTTTGCTGAGGAAAGAGGGGTTCTGCATGTATTTTATCCTCCTGAGCTGTTCCTGAACGCCTCCTAGCTGTAACAGCCTTTGGTCCTACACGTTCTTGGGGAATGGTTTCCTTCTGTCTCCCTGCCAAGCTTTGATCGTTACGGGGCTAGCAAAATGTTCCTTCAACAGCTCTTCCAGCTAGGCCAACCCAAGGCAATAAATAAACAAACCAAATCAAATAAAGACAGGAAATAAAAGCTGCTATTTGCCATTTAATATGAAGAACAGAAAAGAAATCGATTACTTAACACCTGTAGGATGATTTAGCTACTTTCACAGTTTACGTTTCTGACACTGTGTTTACTATTTTGTAATGTGCTGCATCATCCCTTTTAGGTTTTAGTAGCTTTAAATATGGATGTAACATCACATACCCTTTATTCTTTAGAGCTTTCCCAGATTTTGAAAACAGCTCGGTACCTGCCCTTTACTCTTAGTTCAAGGCCTGATCTGAGAATGGCTAGTGGTGGATTTTTTTAGAAAAAGAAATTAAATTTTAAATAAATAGTTAACTTCTCTGCTTCAGTAACAGCATTTCACAGGCTGAACAGATGTTTCTGTTCCATTCAAAATTCCAAACACGTTTATTGTATATACTACTGGGTAAAAGGGGAGATGGTTTAGTTCAGTGAAAGTAAAGAACATTTCTTTGCACTGTAACAACTTTATGTAGTTGCTGACCCAATGTATCCTCTCCAAAGACACCAAGTTTCAGAAACTAATGGTAAGCAGCATATGCGCAGGTTAACTGGGATCAGTGCTTCCTCCGTAAGGAATGGAGAAGCCATAGGATGGCCAATTTGTATTTGGCTGTGCATTATTTGTTTAATGCCAGAATAAATGTATATGCATACATATGTGTGTGTGTGTATTTATATGTATGTGCATCAAGCCTCACCTTTTCCAAAACAATATGCAGATCTTCTCCTCCAGTGTAATGTGGGTCTAGAATCAAGTATTTTATGTGCCCTGTAAGCTCATTCCAAGCCACTCCTAATATCGTGTGAGCCAAAACGCCTCCACCTGAAACAGGAGGAACACAAATTGCTGAAGTTTTTTCACTGAGATTGGCCCAATGTGCAAGCCTAAAAGAAAAGTACATCAATGCTTTCTATTAACAGATTAGCTTGGTTATCAGAACAATTCCGAAGGTGGCCTATGTAAGATTCTTCACGTTATTGAACAGCGTATCTTTCCTACAACTAGGGAAGATTACTTATTTTGCTTTACTTACTACAACTAGGGAATTTATTTTCCATATTTCTTCCATGTCAGCAAGGTGGGTTAAATCCTCAACACTTCCACCAGATGAAGTCAAGAATATGTCAAACATAAGTTTCTTTAAAAGAAAAAGTGAGCAAAACCAGAACTGTAGAAAAGGAATCTGGTTGTAAAAGGACTAAAATTAGAACAGAAATCAGAACTTCTGGCTAAGGGTTATCTGCTGTTTTCTACTAAGTTCCATCACTGGGTATTAGGGGCAGAGTGGTAATTTCTGACTCCCCTTTCTCCAGCCTGCAAACAGGGAGAGGGGACGTTTTGATGAGCTGGCCACAGGTCGACTCTTGCATGTTTCTTTCAGATAGCACGAGGAGTTTACGTCCTTGGGATACTGTAGTAATGACTCCACACAACACACAGGAATTGCAAAAAACCCAAAAGAACACAAGCAAAAAAAAAAATAATCCCCCAAACCCGCCCCAAAACCCAACCTCTGCCCCCTTAACAAGAAAAATTAAACTAATCTACAAGAGAGCATTGCAGGGAAGGGTAAGTTACAATTAAAAGTTTTTTCAATATAGGACTCTAAATTCTTGAAATTCAGACAAAAAAGCTGCTGAAAGGCCAAGAATATTTCATACCAAAATCTGGACTTCTGGCACCTCTAATTTGACAGAGTAGCACTATCTTTACGGAGTGCCAAACACAGATTGTGAAAATTGCTAAAAGTGAAATTTTATTAAAGCCAAAAATGATACTTTTAATAGTCTTAATTTTCTAAACCACAGCTGTCTTGGAAATAGTTCAATTAAAGTTACAGCGTTCTTTCAAATGGCATCTCTCATATTACCAACATTTCGGATTATTAAAACTGGTCTTAAAAAGAATTTGGGCAATACCCTTCTCTTCAAAGCCAGATAAACACTACTTTTGGGAAGTTTGGGGGAACCGTATGACCTTCTGCTCCTCCAGAGACCTGAAGTCAGCTCTCGAGTTCTGACTTTAATAGCAGTTTTTAACACCACCATTTAGGCTGACTTTTGTTACCAGGTTTAATGCTGAGCTTGGGAGAAATACAGAGTGAAAAGATACCAGCCAGACTAAACTGTGTCATTTTCCAGGCTCCCTTGGGAAAGGCGTAATTTTTAATTAATCTAGAGTTTTGATTAACTCTTGTACAGTAAAATGAACGAGTTCTAATTGAAATGAAATTCAGCACAGGGAGGCCATGCACTTTCATTGCCATTCTTCGATTCTCAAGTGCTTACCGATCATTATCGGAGTTCCTTCAGTCTTGAAATGATTAGCAAGCTCTCTTCCCTGCAGCGCTAGCTCAGAACCCTGGCTAGGTAAGAAAAACAACAATTTGTCATCCTCACTAGACTTAATTCTCTAATTATCCATTATACTCGTTAACTGCATAGGTAATTGATTAGAAAGTGGCTTAGAGTTTTCCTGTGTAAACAACCTGGGACAATATGAAAAAAAGTCTTCTAATGCAACTTGCAGATTCTGGTTGGACAATGAATCTGCTGTAAGCCCAGTTGCCACTGGAGCACCTGGAGTCACCCAGCTTCTGTAACGTGTCTGCTGCTTGTCTCCCACAATGGGGACAGCTGGTAAACCCCAACGGGGCCCTCCAAGTGGCTGAAAAACAGACTGGCTACATCCGTCTGAAGTGAGAGAACTTCATCAGAAGCAACAAAAGTAAGGTGTTGGTAAAGGTCTTTTAAGGTCTTAGGGACATCTCTTAAGATAGGTTTCCACTGTAATTGCACAGGCAATTGCAGCACTCGTACCCAAGCCGGCTTCAAAAATCTAATCTCAAATAACATTAGTGATCTGTTCAAAGCAACACTGAACTTAGCTTTGTTATCATCTCCCTGCTTTCCTTTTCAACCATGGGGACCAGCCACAGACAAAAGAAGTCTACATGGAAGAGAAAGGCACACACAATACATGCACGTACGCCAGGATT